CCAGTACCTGACCTCTACTGGGACCAGCCCCTTCCCCCTACCAGGGCCTAACTGGGCCCAATCTCTGACCCCCGCTGGGCCCAGTCGCTGACCCCCCTCAGAATCGTTGCTGGTCCCAGGCCGTGCCCCTCACTGGTCCCAGTCCGCCCCAGTCCGTCCCAGCCCGCCCCAGTCGCACCTTTCTGGATCCGCAGCTGCGCCGCCGAGGCCTTTTTGCTGGAGCTCTTGGTGCCTCCGGCCGATTCCTCCTCCTTCTTCTGCTGCTTCAGCGAGAACAGCTTGATCATCCTGCCGGCCCGGGCCGGGGCGGCGCCGGCCCCCCCGGGGGGCGCAGGGGGAGCGGCGGCTCGGGGCTTTCTGGGGGGTTTTGGGGTTTTTTTGGGGGGGTTTCGGGGGGTTTCGGGGGGTCCGGGACCGACGGGGCCGGGGGAGAGCGCTGAGGGCCGCCCCGCTCGGCAACTTCCGGAGACGCTCGGCAACTTCCGGAGTCGCTTCGGGAAAGTCCGGGAAGGGTTCGGGGATCTCCTGAGCCGCTTCGTAAAGTTCCGGAACCGGTTCGGGAAGTTCCGGAACGACCTGCGAATCACTTCGTGACTTTCCGAAGCCCCTTCGGGATCCTCCAGAACCGCTTCGGGACCCTCTGGAGCCGCTCGGCAAGTTTAGGAGCCGCCTCGGGGGTCTCCAGACCCGGGGGGGGTGGAAGAGGATCCGGGGCCCTTCGGCTCTTTCCGGAGCCGCTCGGGGGAAGCTCAGCCCGTTCCGGGGTCGCTTCGGCTCTTTCCGGAACAACTCGGGTCCTCCCGGTAAAGGGGGCGGGACCGGACCCTCCGCGACGAACCGGGCGCGGCCCCGCTCGTGCCTTCGGCTCTTTCCGGAAAACTTCGGCAATTTCAGGCCCCACCGACCAATCCCCGCGCACGGGGGCGGAGCTTGAGGCCCTTCCTTCTATTGGGCGCCACCATCTTTACGGGGGGGGGCTGCACTGGGACCAGTTCGCCCTCTGTAGTGGGTTGACCCTGGCCAGATACCAGGTACCCACTAAAGCCGCTCTCTCACTCTCCCCTCTGTAACTGGACAAAAATAGAAGAAAAAAGCAATTCAGAATTCATGAGTCGAGAGAAGAGCTGGGAGAGGTCAG